TGGGAGCGGGGCTAAAGGGTCTGGGGGCGCAGGTGGTGTTTTCTTTGATCCTCCCAGTCTCGGGCTACGGGTGGAGGAGGGAGAGGAGGATCCAGGTAGTGAACCAAAGGCTGCGGCACTGGTGTCATTGGGAAGGCTTTGGCTTCCATGACCACAGTCCGCACTTTGGTGAGAGGCAGCGAGCTGCTGGGAAGGGATGGCCTCCACCTCTCTCCGCTGGGGAGGAGGCTCTTCTCAGCCAGACTGGCTGACCTGCTCCACCGGGCTTTAAACTAAGCCTACCAGGGGACGGGAGGACTTCTGCCACTGCTGGCCCGCTGAGCAACCCTTGCAAAGCCAGCAGGCCAAGGCACTTTAGGAAACCCACCCCTGCCCCAGCCTTGAAATGAACTGTAGGCAAGGCTAGGGCCCCCAAGGGGACACTTGCCTGCCTTTACACAAATGCCAGGAGCCTGGGGAATAAACAGGAGGAACTTGTCCTCCTGCTAAACACAAATAACTATGATGTCACAGGGATAATGGAGACCTGGGGGGACTCCACCCAGGACTGGATGACGGGGATAGACAGCTATACCCTGTACAGGAGGGATCGAGTGGACAAAAGGGGTGGAGGCGTAGCTCTCTATGTCAAGGAAAGCTACGCATCCCTGCAAGACGACATTGGCACCCATGGTGGAAGACTTGAGACCCTCAGGGTTAAAATCCGTGGGGAACACGGCACAGGGGATACTATGGTGGGAGTCTACTACAGACCCCCTACCCAGGGTCAAGACCTTGACCAGAAGTTTGCCAGGGAATTGGCTGAAGCCACATGCTCCCTGTGTATGGTTGTCATGGGAGGCTTTAACTACCCAGACATCTTGTGGGAGGAGCGCTCAGCCATATCTGAGTGGTCGCAAACTTTTCTCTCATGCATGGATGACCTCTATCTGACACAGGAAGTCTACGGGACTACAAGAGGTAAAGCGCTGCTCGACCTGGTTCTAGCAAACGGAGACGACCTAATCAGCGACCTAACGATCGAAGGGAAGCTGGGTGACAGTGACCACGAGCTGATCAACTTCACCATCCACCATAAAGCTGGCAAGTCAGTCAGTAATACAGAAGTCCTCGACTTCAGGAAAGCTGACTTTGACAAGCTCAGGAGGCTTGTCAGGGAGGCCCTTGAACAACATGAATTCAGAGAGGGTAATACAATGTGAACATGACAGAAGTAAGGTAGGTCAGCAAAGGAAAGCATTTTGAAGATTTACAGCTATAGTGCTGGATTCAAAGAACATGTACCCTACCCACAACCAGTCAATTCAATACATAGACTAGGAATGCTGGTACTAAGCATCATCCAGAAGAAATGCTTTCTATTTTTGGTTCCTAGGATGCTCCATCCCATCTGGGTGGTCTATGACCTGGCCTGATTATTCTTGCCTATGTCAATTCTTGGATGGACTTTGACTAATACAAAACTCAGCAATGTAACTGCTCAGCCACGCAAGCTACAACAAGCACACCCAGAGAATTTCAAACAAGTTTAAGATTTCAATCATCTTAATAGGACAGGCTCAGGAATTGGGCGGATGAGAACCTGATGGTGTTTAACACTGGAAAATGTAAGGTTCTCCACCTTGGGAGGAAAAATCTGCAGCACGCTTATAGGCTCGGCAGTACTACACTGGTTAGCACTACAGAGGAAAGGGACTTGGGGGTCATGATTGACCACAAGATGAACATGAGCCTTCAATGCGATGCTGCAGCTAGTAAAGCGAGCAAAACGCTGGCTTGCATCCATAGATGCTTCTCAAGCAAATCCCGGAACGTCATCCTCCCACTGTACTCGGCTTTGGTGAGGCCGCAGCTGGAGTACCGAGTCCAGTTTTGGACCCCACAATTCAAAAAGGATGTGGAGAAGCTTAAGAGAGTGCAGAGAAGAGCCACGCACATGATCAGAGGTCAGGAAAACAGACCTTATGATGAGAGGCTGAGAGCCATAGGACTCTTCAGTCTGGAAAAGCACTGGCTTAGGGACGATCTGGTGGACACCTATAAGCTTATCAAGGGTGCTCACCAGGATATGGGGGAACATCTGTTCACCAGAGCGCCCCAAGGGATGACAAGGTCGAATGGTCACAAACTCCGCCGCAACCAATTCAGGCTGGACATAAGGAAGAACTTGTTACTGTCCGAGCCCCCAAGGTTTGGAATAGACTGCCGCCGGAGGTGGTTCAAGCACCCATTTTGAACGCCTTCAAGACACATTTGGATGTCTAGCTTGCTGGGATCCTATGACCCTGATGACTTCCTGCCCCTGGGGCAGGGGGCTGGACTCAATGATTCTTCGGGGTCCCTTCCAGCCCAAATGTCCATAAAAATCTATGAAATCTAAAGTGCTCACTCTTCCCCCTGTGGGAGGAGGCAAGCACAGGCTTCTCTGTGCTGGCTCCAATGCCAGGAGCTAAGTTTATAATTGTCCTTGCCCCACTGCTCTGTGAGAAGCTAAGTGCCCTTTGCTTTAAATAAAGAGTTATGAATTTAATCATGCCTTAAGCACAATGTGTAGATCAGGCCTTAACTAGTTAATCATGTCTCAAGTGGTCACCTGGCTACATGCTCAATCAAATTAATGGGGTGATAAAAAGAAGAATAAAGTACAAAGTTATTCCATAAAATGTGTAATAATTTTGTAGCTGCTTCCTATCATGCCATTAACTGAAAATGTGGCCAAAGACCCTTGTGGTTGAGAGTCCTGTCAGCCTATCAGAGCTCCTAACTGAGGGTGCCCATGTGCACACGCAGTCCTGGAAGCTCCTAGATGATGCTGCTCCCACCTGCTGGGGTGCTCCAAGCAACCCCACAGTTGCGAGAGTGCATCTGATGTGGCGTCCCAGCCATGGCAGGGGGGCACCTGGAACAACCCCACAGCTGGGACACCTGTCACAGGGACCCTTGGAGCACCTTCATGGCATCCAGCCACACTAAGGCTCCCAGCCATAGGAGCTTGTTTCTTCCCAGTGAAGCAAGCAAGCCAGCCAAGCCACCAGCTATAAGGAATGATGGGATCCGATTTGCGATCCCACAACCACGCCATCATGCCTCTTCCCATGCTTGTGCGGCATAGCACGAGGTGCAGTTGTGTGGATCATTCATCAGATCCCATCACACCTTTACCTGCACATCTAGAGGGCCCTAAGAAGCCTACCATGATGCTTAACTACAGTAAGGACTCCCAATATGACTGGGGAAGAAAGCATGTATTCAGGAAATTGGCTCTACTAAGGGTCTGACAAAGAGCCAACTGACCTTATGTTTAAGAGAGCACATAAATTCCAAGTTAGTGAACTTTTAGTACAAATGGATATGGTCCATGCATATTGAAAGATATTTAAATTTTATTCAAAATCAGGGTGGCCAATTCAAATCATCATTTAAAAGTCACAAAATGGAAATCATTGTTTTTAAAAAAGAATTTAATTTAGTTCTGGATTTGTACTTTTGTTATTTCCCTGAAGTGAAGCTGAAATTCATCAATTGGCAACCATTAAAACATGCTTTTTTACAACTAAATATGAATTTACACTCAATTTCAAGTTACAGGAGAACTCCTGTACACACTTATTTAATCAAATACAGTGTAGCATACATTTGGGCAGATTCACTCTTGCCCTCTGTGAATAAGTGGACTAATTAAAAATGAGCACAGTACCTACCAAAGTTTTTGGATGGTTGATGTCAAAGCCTTTTACCAGCAGCTTCCCAACATATATGATGAATCTTTAGGATGCATATACAACTATTGGGGCCTATAAATGGCAGGTAATGAAGAAGTCTTAACTGTTGAGAACTTTAGCTTAGTGCACTGTTGTGGCAGGAGGATGCAGCTCCAGCTCATCACAACCCATCCCAGACAGGAAGAACAGATAGGACCGGATGCAAACAGGGTTTGTTTCATCCCAGTTCCCTCTGCAGCATCAAAGGGGGTCCCCCAGCTACAGCACACATGGAAAAGATGGGAACACGCCTTCAGGAGTGAACCCTCTTTTCAGGAGGCAGCCCAGCTTCACTTATCTTCTGATTCTGGGACTAAAGGAGCTTCCAAGGAGGAGATGCAAGCATGTAGGAGCGAGGAGGCTACAGTATATCACGACCTGTAGGTGATTCTCTTCTGGCAGGATTCCCCAGAGAGCTGCACTGACTCTTCTCAGGGGGCTGCACAGCCCTATTACCTGGCATTAGGCATTAGAACAGCGGTTCTCAGCAGGATGCTATCAAATTCCAAAATGTGATGGAAGGGTGCCTTAAATCCAAAAACGTTAAGGAAAAAAAAACTTGCTTAGTCAATCAAGATACACTGTACTATTTTATACCCTTTCAAAATTCCTTTACAGCTCAGTGAGAGCATGGCTGCACATGAAAGTCAACTCAGACCACTAGGTGGCAGCCATGAAACTATCTGAAAGAGTGGCAAGTGCAAGATTTGGAGGTAGGAAAAAAAATCCAAACCAGACTGAGTAGAGTTTAGCCAATTCAGCCAAATGCTTATGAAACACTTTCAAAGGCATCTCATTTTTTTTTTCTCCACACAGCAACTCAGACGTGGTGAAAGTAACTTCTTTTCTGTGCGTCTCATCCATCCCATGTTTTTGCAAGGGCATGGGAGACTAGTCTATGTAAGAGCAAGGACTTGCATCTTTCAATACATTTTTTGAGGATACTTTGCTACTCAATGAAGTAATGATTGGGAATATACAACTTGGGCTAGAGGTTAAGAAAGAATGGTATGTTCCTTATATCATTTTAAACATAGGAGTGTAGAAGTACGTTCTATTCAAAACATTACAAGCTTGATCAATCACAACCACAACCTACAAGACAACGGAAAGTCAGAACATGGCGAGCATCTGTAAAATGTTTACTGTGACCTACTGTGTGACTATTCTGTTGGATTAGAAGAGGCGCTGATTATAAAGAAGCAAATTTTCCCCTAAATAAGAGTCAGTTTACCATACCTCACTATCTTCTTGGCTATCTTCTTGGCAGCTTTGAACATTGCACCATCTTGCTACAGGTTCTGGAACAACTTCCCAGTCTTCACTGGCTTGTTTGAGGATACTCACAAAGGTTGACTTCCCTGCAGCTGTTGGAAGATGTGAGACAATAGCTCAACAGATGTTAGATATAATTCTCTAGTAAGAAGACAATCTGTTTGCCAGGCCCATGAATTGCCATCTTCCCTTCCCAGACTCTACTGACTTCACAAAACCTCCCTCTGATATACTATTCTGGCAACACCATTACATCCCCAACAAGGAACAAAACCAGTGGGATCTAAATAATAATAAAATAACAGAGAGATCTCTCTGTTAGCAACTGTTTGCCATCACTCCTTCTGAAAAAACAAAATGCTTGCACTGCAGCTCTAGTATTTTAGCAGAAAGCAGTAAAATCATTTCCACCATTTTTCTAGTAAAAGTTTAAAAATGAACAGTAAGGCTTCTCACACACAAAAAAAGGAATACTTTGAAAGAGGGCATGAGCCCCTCTGCAGCCTGAAAACTGGTCCTTAATGGCAGGAAACTGGCAATTGCAAAGTACAAAATGCACCTCTCCCTCCCCGTCACACGCTCCGGGCAAACCCTGTGTGGGCCGCGCAACCTGCACGGGCAGGGGCTCCGCCTTGCCCCCTTATATCCCGGAGGAAACTGTCGAGCAAATTCTTTCACAAGTGGCCAGTTCCGCGAGTAGCAGTTTGAGCCCATAACCTACACGGTAGGACGTGCAATACAGCCAAATCCGTGCCCCTGCACATGCGAAACTCCCGCGCTCCGGTGTCGCGCCTTACCGAGAGGCGGCCGCGCACCAGACCCCCTCCCGCCTACGCACGGAGAAGCCCGGGGCCGGGGCCGGGCCGGTCCCACGCCCGGGAACCTCCGCTTCCGCAGCCCGGAGGGGGAGGGGGAGGGGGAGGAGGCGCTCA